AGATAGATAGATAGATAGATAGATAGATAGATAGATAGATAGATAGATAGATAGATAGATAGATAGATAGATAGATAGATAGATACCCCCAAACCTTTGAATAGATTTGCATCTGTTTATTTTTCTAAAATGATGTAAAATATTTCAAAAATACAAATGTTAAGGATTCAAATATTTGATATCATGAAAAATAGACAATAAAAAATAAGGAAATTACACCAAACATTTTTGCCCTAAAACAAATGGATAACTCTGATTCAAAATAATTTTAAATCAAGAATATTGTAACCTTTTTGTCATACTTGAAAAATGAACCACTATACTCCTTACCAAACTGAAACTGTATATGGCTGTGTATTTTCACTTGATTCACCCTTGCTAAATACATGAAGATAATTGATGAATTTTGTTTGCATTATTGATTTCATTTTGCATGTGATTCTCATCTTTACTCAGTGATGTAGTATTTGTTTAATATATTTTTCCCTTTGTTCTTGTTTTCTTTTCTCAACCATATGAGAGTACCATTGAAATGGTGATTATTTTTGTCTTGGCACTCAATAGAACTCTGCAAATGGATGCAACATGCTCATTAATATCTTAATATTGTAACCAGTTTGAACAATCAGTCACACAGGGACATGGTTTTGAATCCATTTATGATCCACGTTAAGTAGATAAGTACTTGGGTAGAATTGGAAATGTTTCCTTTCACATATTACATTCTGACATCCTGATTTGTGATCTGACTCCAAACCATAGAATTCATATATTCAAAATATATATTCATTTTGCTTTTGCCAGCAAACAAAAAAAAATATCATAGACCATTTGAATCGTAGCCTTTTAAAGAATATATTCACACAAATTTAACTTTATTTTTAAAAATCATTTATTTATTGTTTCTTTGCTTAGATATTTTACTGGAAGATGTTGCAGATGGAACTCTCCATAAAGAAGGCCAGAATGTTAAGATTATTGTCACAATAAACAAGGGCTACGGTCGATCAAAGGTATTCTGGCTTCCAACTTTTATTGCCAAATGATTATCTTAATTATCTTTCTGTAAATGCTACTGTTGTTATAAAGGCTGTTCTGCTCTAATCAGCAGTTCATTCAATTTAGACCACAATAAATAATATTGAAATAATTCATTTTTCTCATGCTGTACTTACACTGGCATCATTGACATTTATTGGCATTTTGATATAATTATGTGTGATTTATAGAAATGTGGACATTCATAATTGTATCAGAAGAGCTGTGGTTAGAATGTAGCATTGCAGGCTAATTCTATTGATTGCCAATTGCCAGCAATTCAGCAGTTCAAGTCTCACCAGCTCAAGGTTGATTCAGCATTCCATCCTTCTGAGGTCGGTAAAATAAGGACCCAGATTGTTGGGGTCAACATGTTGACTCTGTAAACTGTTTAGAGAGAACTATAAAGCACTGTTTAGCAGTATATAAGTCTAAGTGTTATTGCTATTGCTAGCAAAAAATATTTTAATATAAAATCTGTAACATATTTGGTATATCTGTAACATAAAAAATACTATTTTTCTCTGCAGAAAAACACTCAGAGAAGCTTGACAAAATAATTTATCAGTATTGAAGTGACTTCTTTCTTATATCATATATCTCCTCTCTTTATAGGACCAAAGAATACAGGCATATTTGATAGGTTCTATCAGGGTCAGTGGTAAAACAAAATGGGATGTATTAGACGGTGTAATTAGACGACTCTTTAAGGTAAGATTTTGCAAGTTTAATGCAATGAACATCAATAAGATTTTGTGAGAGATTTGGGTTACCATATCCCAGCTGCAAAAATCCAAATAATTACTAGATGCCAGCAAAAAGGCTCAGAAAACTCTACTTATGGGCCACGTTTGGACTAACCAAATACGTTAGTCATATACTTGCAACCAGTTAATGGATCGCTTTTTATTATCTATTTGAATAAACAAATATATAACAGGTAAATAAAGGCAAACATATATAAGGATTATATATACAATCAGTTAAATAAATGGATTTCACATTTTAGACTGATTAGGGTCCATGAGATCAGTGTTTGTGGGGAGGCCCTTGGTATCTCTGAGCTTGCTTGATATTTCATTACCAAAATAGGAAATATCATCAGTGCTAGAAGGGAATGGGGTTTGCTCTTATTTTATATGCTAGTGGTTTGCCCTATCAGTGTTGGTGGGAGTGGTCTTGGTGGTTCCTTGATTTGATTGTTTACTTTTAATTTGTTTGTCCAAGTTGGTAGTTTTTTTATTGGGATGTTATCCAGGGCCATGCTAGAAAATATCTCATTTGAATTACTATAACATGCTGTATATGGGCCTGCTCTAAATGAAATGTTTCTATCTTTTGTAGTCCAATCAAGAGTAGTTGCTTCACATTCCCACCTTCTAAAAGTTAGACGGAAAAGAATGACGAAGCAAACTTTTTCCATTGCTGTGCAGTTCCTTAGAAAAACCTCCTTGGAATTTTAAGAACCTTACATTCTGAGCTTTTAAAAGACTGACTTATAAAATAACTTCTAGATCAGGGGTGTCAAACTTGTGGGCAGCAGGCCGGATGCGTCACAAACTGGAAATGCACACCCCCATTTTAGCGAAGGGGAAAAAAGTCATGATACGTCATGTGATGACAACATGACGCCGCAAGTTTGACACCCCTACTTAGATTAAAATTCATTCCTTTCATAGAACTACCTAAATGCAGCTGGGGTAAATTGAGCTTCATTTGCACATGTGATAAACTGGCCAAAATGCCCAGAACTATTTTTTCCTTCATAAATTAAGGAGATTGAAGTTTCTGGTTTTCTCTAGTTTTTAGTTTTTATGATGATGTTTTTTAAATACTTGTTACTTTAAATACTGGCAAGAAATAAATAAAAATAATTATAATTATGTCTTATAAAATCCAACAAGAAATACTAGACATTTTTGTATTGTTTTTTGACATTTCCATTTAAGCTTGTATATTCTTGATCTGCAAGTTGTGGTAATGAGAATGGCATATGAACCAGTAGGTTAATAATTCATTCATTGATACTGCAAAATGTTGATGTTTCCATTTGTTTTTTTTTATTATTATTTTAGGAATATATTTTCCGAGTAGACCCAGCTACTAGTCTTGGTTTGAGCTCAGATTGTATAGCTAATTATTGCGTAGGTGATATAATTAGAGCCCATAACCAAGAAGTGCCTGAATTGCTACCTTGTGGATATCTGGTTGGAGATAATAACATAATCACAGTGAATCTTAAAGGTAAAACACACCTTTAATTTATTCCCCTTTTCTTCTGCATACTCTGTAATATTGTTTTCATAATATACTGTCCAGAAGAGTAGAAAAAATTATAACTACATGATCAATTGCCTTTTAGTTAGCATAAAAAATCAGGTAAAAATAGAATAATAATTTAAAATAAATTAATATAATTGTCAGATACCAGCTTGAAGGAGAACATCTTAAGAATAACAGACTATAAGTATTAAATGACCTGGTACAGGTTAGAATAGTTTAAATATTAAGCAACCTGGTATATCTGCCCTGGTATACCATAGTTGAGATGGCAGCTTTTTAAAACAAGTCTGGAATTGATTATGCGCATTTTCTTCTACACAAGATTTCCACTAATTAGTTTTCCAGTGGTAAATATGATTACTGTAACTTATGTCAGTTTCAGTGTTGGTTCGTAAATGCATTCTATTTCATCAGTGACTAAATATACACAAACACAGAATGCATTTTAGTCTAAAATTCATTATTACTTAGCTATTCAAATGAAAAGAGACATTTCATTTCTAATACTTTTTTGTGACCTAAGAATCATATTGTAAAGAACAGAATCTTAGAATTTATATACTGATTCAGGAAATTCAAATAAAAATAACATTGACCAGTCCAAAAGTATATTTATCCACAGGCAATACATTTGCCGTTAGTGGACTGGATATAGCCACATAATATGAAACCAAGTGAATACATCCTTTACGTTTTAAACATAGGCCTTATATCGCCTCAACCACTTCACCACTGATGCTTCCTACTTTAACATCACCTTTTTTGCAGCATCTAGAATTTTTTACTAATGTAAAATTAATTGTGAGAATCTCATACGTGCATAGTAATATTTTTATTATTTCTTTTAAATGAAGACAAATATATAAACAGAATAAACAAATGTTGAAGAATGAGGAGTTAGGATTCTGAATCAAGTATTTCAACCACGTAGACAGCGTGGGAGCCTCCAAACGAACTGTCTGATTTACAGAGATATTTCTGAATTGCTAACTCATGCTGTAATCAGTTTGACCTTTTTAAAGTGTCTCAGGCACTTCAGATATGCCTTGCTGCCTCACCTAGATTTCACTTCACATTGACTTTGATTGCAAGTACTTATCTAATTATGTTGCTACATTAATATTCAATGAATTGACTTTTTAAAAAAGTATGAAAAATATTTCTGTAAATGTTTCCATACTTTCTCAAAAAACAACATAACCAATAGGATTTTTTTTCCTGTCTTACTTCTTGTTTTTTGTTTTGTTTTTGTTCTCAGGAGTAGAAGAAAATAGTTTGGATAGCTTTGTGTTTGATACATTAATTCCTAAACCAATTAGTCAACGGTACTTTAATTTACTGATGGAACATCACAGGATTATCCTATCAGGACCTAGTGGCACTGGAAAGACCTATTTAGCCAACAAGCTTGCTGAATATCTGATAACTAAATCTGGCCGGAAAAAAATGGAAGATGCCATTATTACTTTTACTGTTGATCATAAATCAAGCAAGGTAAAATCTCAGAAAAAGAGCCATCAATATTAGACATATTAAGAATAGCATATTTCATTCTTTATATTAGAATTAGATAATATCTGAATGTTTAAATATTTTTAATGTATAATAATAACTGACATTTTACTTACTACTTTCATATATTCATATTTTAATGATTTGCCACAGAATATTTGTACTCATTTTGCCACTTTGAACTAATTTTGTCCTTCTTACCTAACATGTTGTTTCATTAGATAGGCCTAACACAAAATAGGGTTATGCTGCTCCTGCTTTCTTGAGTATCCTCACTTATGCTTCACAATAAGATGGGATCCAGTTGGCTTATACTTGACTTTTTATACAGTTAGACATAGTACTATCTGGGTCACATAAGGCAATGGTCTCCAACCTTGGCAACTTTAAGACCTGTGGACTTCAACTCCTAGAGTTCCTCAGCCAGCAATGCAAGGAATGCATTGTACTTGTAATCATCATATGTCCCAACTAATCTTGGAAAATACAGAATAATAGAGTTGGAAGGTCTTCTAATCCTTGGAGGTCTTCTAATCCAATCCCCTGCTCAAGCAGGTAACCTAAACCAATTCAGACAAGTGGCTGCCCAGTCTCTTCTTTAAAGCCTCTAGTGATGGAACATCCACAACTTTTGAAGGCAACTTCCATTCCACTGGTTGTTTTCACTGTTAGGAAGTTTCTCCTTAGTTCTAGATTGCTCCTCTCCTTGATTAGTTTCCATCGGGGTGGGTTCCTGCCAGTTCTAACCTCTTCTATAGAAGAGGTTCCACAAATCTACAGTGCCATTTAGAACTGGTTCCAGCTCCCTCCCCCCGCCCGTCCACACATCATCAAGATGAAGAGCGAAGGAGGAATTCTGGGAGTTGAAGTCCACAAGTCTTAAAGCTATCAAGTTTGAACACCCCTGGGTTTTTTTCTAAAGGGTTAGGGGTGCAAGGTCTTGTAACTTGACAGCTTTAAGACTTGTGTACTTCAAATGCCAGAGTTTCTGAGCCAACATTTTGGTTGCTAAGCAAGAGCATTGTTAAATGAGCTTCACCACATTTTACAAGTTGGCCACACCCACCCAGTCACATGGCTGGCAAGCCACTCCCACAAAGCAGGCCACACCTACAGAAGAGGTTCTAAAAATGTTTGAAACCCACCACTGGTTTCCATCCATTGTTTCTCGTCTTGCTTTCTGGTGCTTTGGAAAACAAGTTCACCCCCTCTTCTTTGTGGCAACCCCTTAAATATTGGAACACTGCTATCATGTTATCCCCAGTTCTTCTTTTCTCTAGACTAACCATATCCAATTCCTGCAACCATTCTTCATATGTTTTAGTCTCCAGGCCCTTAATCATCTTAGTTGCTCTTTTCTGCACTCCAAAGTCTCAATATATTTTTAATAATGACTTAACCAAAACTGGATACAGTATTCCAGATATGGTCTTACTAAGGTTTTATAAAGTGATACTAATGCTCCACATGTTCTATCCTCTCTTTATACAACCAAGGATTGCATTAGCTTTTCTGGCTGTTGCCACAACCACACTGCTGGCTCATATTTCAGTGATTGTCTTCTAGGACTGCAAGGTTCCTCTCATAGCTACTACTTTTGAGCCAGGTTTCACCTACCCTGTACTTGCATATTTTGTTTTTACCTTACTTTTCTCTACATTAAATTTATTTTTGTTGGATACGGCCCAATGTGGTGATCCTTCAAAAGTATCCAGAAGTTGTAATTGTTGAAAAATTTAGCAGCTAGGTTGCTAATTATTGCAAGTACTATGCAAGAAGCATATTATGCCTGTATTGAATTTCCTTCCAGTTGCCTACAGCTCCTGATTGACCTTTAAAAGATTAAATGAGATTTGATTAATTAAATTACATTGGATTAGATATTGATTATTTGAGAGCTCCATTCCTCCTCATAGAAGCTTGGCTGATTATTCAAATTAGAAAAAAAACTCTTGAAGATCCCTCATATCTATAAACTCACTTAACTGGTGTGCCCCAAGCTAGAGAATGTTCTTTCCAAAAAACTGACTTCCTTGTTTTTAGGTATTTAAGGAAAATGATAAAAACCTTGTTGCAAACTGTCAGTTTTAGTTGAATTTTTATTTTAATGATTCTGACTTTAATTTTGATATTAAGTAATACTGCTTTTCTATTTTGTATATTTAAATGCTGTGAGGTGCTTCAAGTAGGTTATAAACAAAAAAGTTTAGGAAGGAAGGAAGGAGAAAAGAAAGACAAAGATACAAAAAGAGAGAAAGAAAGAAAGAACAGATTAAAATTCCTGAAAGAATGGAATAAATATGCATCTTAGGTACATAGGTTCTTCTATCCATTTGGGAAAACCTCATGATCAGGATTTGCTGATCACATGAAATAGCCTTCCTGCATTTGAATAAAATCAAATAAAAGCTCCTAAATATTTTATTAAATTTGTGAAAGCAGGGAAATCAGATTAGTACAATTCTATTGTATGCATTCAACAATATATTGTAAATACTAGTTTTGGATAAAGAAGATGCTTAGGCAAAACTGCTTTGCTTGAGAGTGTCAAAATAATTTCATGATACTTAGTTTTAACAATGATACATAAATGCGAAGTTGGCAATAGAAAATACAACTGTCTTATTACATTCTTCTCCTTTTTTTGAAGGATGTTCAACAATATCTTGTTAATTTGGCTGAACAGTGCAATGCTGATAACAGTAGTTCTGACCTTCCTGTGGTAATAATTCTTGACAACCTGCACCATGTTGGTTCTTTGAGTGACATCTTCAATGGTTTCCTTAACTGTAAATATAACAAATGGTAGGTTGATTCTTTAGTCATTGGTGCTATGCAGCCTCTCCCACTCTGGCAATCTTCAAAGATATTGAATTGAAGCTCTCAGAATTCCAGGTTCCAGGAAGTTGCATTTATACAGTTCACATACAGGGGGCTGCGTTGAAGTTAGGCAGTGGCAGAATCTGAGATGAGTTTATGAATAGACTCAGTGAAGTTTGAGAAATGTTTTCATTTCATATTTTAATGCAGATGAATAGTCTGTTATTATACATTCAATGTATTTTTGCTCCTCCATCCTTCCACTCCTCAAAATTGGCAATGTTACAAAACCAGCTTAAACCCAAAACATAAAGCAGAAATAAACATTTTATCATATCAGTTTGAGTCTAGTCTTTATAACACACATATCCCTTTGTGATTTTAAGAAAAAAGGAAACTGCACGAATCTGTGCATTGAGTTTTCATTAATAGATTCCTATGAACAGATACAAACTATGTACTTTTTGTTCTTCTGTGTGTTCTTATATGCAATTTTAGCCAAGAATGTATTGTATTAATCTGGAAAGTGAAAAATTTATTAATAAGCAGACTTATTAAAATTCTACTTATTTATATATTTTTACATACAGCCTCATGCTTAAGTAAGAATATTATATTACAAAATGGCTTTAATTGCTTTCAGTAAACATTTCATCTTTCTCAATAAAGTAATAGTTTCATATCATATCTACAGAATCATTGGAATAAACTTTAAAAAAAATCACCCAGATGAAGAATTTATAGAAAGCTATGCTAATCTTGAATGAAACAAAAATTAATAAATCTGAACTGAGAGCCAGTTTGGTCTAGTAGTGAAAGCACTGGACTAGAAACTAGTTTAAACCAAGTTGGAATTCTAGTCCATCTTAGCTAGAAAGCCAGCCGGGTGACATAGGGCCAGTCAGTCTCTCTCAGCCCCAAGAGGTTTTAAAAAACCTGGCCAAAAAAGTTGAAGGAACTATGCCAGGCAATTGCCAGGGGTCCAAAATCTGACCTGAAGGGGCACGCACGCACGAGCTTCAGTTTCATATCTGACATTTCCTCTAATGGTGTCTACACATAGTTCAAGAATACATTTAAGCAAACATTTGAGACCTTGCATAAGTGCGTTCTAAAGGGATTTTCTGAAATACAAATATACATTATGTTATATTAAAACAATGTTAAAATTAGTTTTCTTGAATGTGAGTTTACTTTGGCATTATGATTACTTCATAAGCTCTGCATTTTATATATTCAGAGACTAAGAGAGTAATGTGTTCTTTTTTTCTTTTTTTTTCTTTCTTTTGTGGTCATCCTTGCTGATTTTAATGCTGATTTTATGTTGTTTTGTTAATATTTTGTTCTTATTCAATTTTCATGAATAGTTTTTTAAACCCATGTTTGTTTGTTTCAAGTCCCTATATTATTGGAACAATGAACCAGGGAATTTCATCATCACCTAATCTAGAACTGCATCAAAACTTCAGGTAAAGATTATTTCTGTTTCATATCTATCATATGACTCAAGTTCAGAACTTTCAGGCTAACATTTTAGTTTTACTAAGTTCATAACTGTTGCACATTTGGTTATATAAAAACAGAAAGCATATAAAGTTTTTCATTTGTTTTAAATGAGTCAAATGGAATGAAAATATAATATCACCATGTTTAGGATTGCAAAAGTGATGTGTCATTTGGCTTTTGTCACAAGATAGCAGAAAAAACTAAATATATTAAGTTCTAATAGCAATTTTCTTCATCATTGACCTCAAGACATACAGTTGAAAAGAAACAATGTATTATTAGCTAGAGATATAAATGTAATCCTGTGACAGAACAATAATCTAGCTCAAAATCTATTTACTGATAACAGCTAGCTAAATGCCAAAGGCAAGTTCACAAACAGGACATACAGTCATTATCCATCTTCAGTGATTAATTTCTAACTTCAGGCACCGAGAGAGATGGTTTGTGAACAAAGAAGAAGAATACAAGCTATATCTTAAACGCAGTGATCAAATATTTCATTTTTAGCAATTTATGATTGTGGTTTTCACATCAGCTCATGGAAACAATACAATACAATACAATACAATACAATACAATACAATACAATACAATACAATAACAGAGTTGGAAGGGACCTTGGAGGTCTTCTAGTCCAACCTCCTGCCTAGACAGGAAACCCTATACCGTTCCAGACAAATGGCTATCCAACATCTTCTTAAAGACTTCTAGTGTTGTAGGTTAACAATAGGCTTTAAAAAGCATATTTTTCTTTGGGTCGACTATAAGACTTCATTGGATGTTTGCAAACTTTGCATTTGGATTCCATTATTTTATTGTTTTGTGTATAGATGGGTGCTGTGTGCTAATCACACAGAACCTATTAAAGGGCTGTTATCCAGATATTTAAGAAGGAAACTGATTGAAACAGAGCTGGAGAAGAATACCCGCAATAATGATCTCATCAAAATTATTGACTGGATCCCCAAGATATGGCATCATCTCAACAGCTTCTTAGAAACACACAGTTCTTCTGATATAACCATTGGTAAGACCTTTTATAGTTAAGAATGCAAATTAAGAGTTAAAACTGACCTTTGAAGCTTATCTTATTGTGTAAATTTACTATGATTGTGTTCAGCAAAATAACTAGTAGGCTATCTTTTATGCCCAAAAGGGGAAAAAAAGAGTTGTGTTTGCAAATATGGTATTGTTGGATATGAATTGGATTTCTGGAATGAAATTTGTACTTTAAAAACCCAAAGCCATTTAATGTCATTAATTTTAGTTTACTTTAGCTGTGAACTTAAAGTTTCTTATCCCATTCCACTGTCGAAAAATTTAGTTCCAACCAATGTGAAAAGAAAATTTAGAACAAAACAAGAATATTTTAAAATAAAAAATAAAAAAATGCATATTCTTGGAGAACATATTCCTTCACAGTTTTTGCTTTTTTTAAAAAAAATCTGAATGTTCACATTTCTTGATGCCATTAATAATGTACATTCTAATGTGGCATCGGATTGGATCAGCAAGCAGCAGTTATAAGAAGCAGAGAAGGCAGAGAGGTCTAAAACTCTTTCAAATCTCTCAAGAAATCCAAGATCAGCTATTACTGCTTCAAAAGCCCTCTTCTATCACGACAAATCTCTGTTAACTAATCATGTGGGAAAGTGCCCTGAGAGCAATGGAAACTCCATCTGCATGGGGTTTTTTCTGGGGGGGGGGAATCCCTCCCTGAAGAAGAGATCAAATAATCTTTCAGATAATTTTATGTTTCAAAAAGATTTTTTTAATTGATTTTTTTCTATAAACATCCCTAAGTGGCACAATGTGTTTTGGCAGTTGCCACATAACAGCTGGCAGTTGCTACAACATTGACAAGCAAGGAAGAGATCTGAAACAGTCACCTTGTTTACAGATGAAATGTCTTCAGAATTATTTCTGCCATTTAAACAAAGGCCATCTGGAACCAATGAAGTAATTGGTCTTTAGAAATACATTACCCATATTTCTCTGTCTCAGCAATTCACAAAATGCTAGATGTTATAAATGTATTTTTCTAAATCATGTGGCTGAAAAGGATAATGCAAAAAAAATGTCATTGTGCTGTGTGAAAAAATGGCTGCCATCACTAAAATGCAGTGAATAGCATACAAACAGTATATCTATTGTATCTATCTGACAATAAAACAACATGAATTAGATGTCCCCTTCCTTGTATGATACCCAATTTCTTTTATATGAAGGAAACATAATGTACAGAGCTATAGTCCTATAGCAAGCAAAACTCAGAGGCAGCTTAATCTCTGCCTCTGCTTCTTTGCCTTGGGTCGTGTCCTCAAACCTTTTCCTCAGCTCCTGCAGGAACTCATAGATGTTCTCCAGCTCAGGAGTTCCTTCATCATACAGTTGGGTCACCCATTCCGCAGCTTCTCCCTCTAGGTTCTCAGTGATGGCAGTAATCATTTCCTGGTTGTTAGTGTAGTCTTCCCCATAGTGATTGATGTGAGCCCACACCCAGTTCAGGTAGAAGGCCAGCTTGTCTGAGCTCTCATCTGAAGCACAGTGGGGTGACAGACCAGATTGGAGGAGGAGGAGTGCACAGCAGCGGAGCCGGGGAGGGCATCCATTGAGCTTGGACCCATCCTTTCCCTGGTTAGTAAGTCCTGGTGGCACCAGCTGTCACAGTCTTGGGCTCAGCTGAAACAAAAGGAGCAGCAGAGGACTGACCATGCAGATTGTGGTGGTGGTAGACTGGTGCCGACTGGGGAGACTCAGTTGCAGACTGCAAGGCACTGATGGGAACTGTGGAGGAGTCACAGCCCAAGTAGATCAATCCTCTGAGCAGGGAAAAGCAAAGTTGGCAGGCTCAAGACCTCTCTCCCTTGCTCATGTAGGTATGAGTGCTCAATTCTGCCAAGACTCAGCTGGCTGAGTCTCTCCATCAATGATACCAGGGTTTGCCAATGGTCTGTGGTCTGGTATCTCCAATCTGCAGACCTGCTGAGGTCCAGAAGGCCCGTCAATTTCCACTCAAGGATTGCCATCCTCACCTCCCTTGTTGAGGTGATCAGGCATTTCCAACCTGGCTCCTGGAACATGGCCTGGCAGCTGATGTCCTACTCTGTCTGGTAGAGCTCTTGGGTGGCCGACCATTTGCCATGGAGTTTAGGCCAGGTGCCCACTTGGCATGTGATCTTCACCACCACTTACTCCACCCATTGAATTTCCAAGGGGCGTACTTGGCTCCTCTGCAAGCTCCGCAGGTACCCCCCACCTTTTCCTCCATCTTCCTTGAGTCTTCCTGCTGCCCAGGTAGACCAGATAAGCAGCCGAGGCTCAGGAGCCCAGATAGTAGCTCCGGCTGGAACTTAGGATTTATGAGAGTTGGTTTCATGTCAGGGGTTCAAGCAATAGTCCCAAAGCAAGCAAAACTCTGAGCATGTTAATTCCTCAAACAATAGCTTTATTGGAAATATCATATTGGCATAGGTTTTCACCTAATTAAAAGAGAACGTTTTCCCACAACCCCAAACAATCAGTCACATTGTCCAATCAAGACACTGTCTGGTTGTCTAGTGAGCTCACTCCTCCCTCCACAGTCCAGGTGTGAAACTGTCCTTGGTTCCCACGAGAAAGTTTTTTTTTTATTTTGGCTACAAACCCCCAGCTATCTCTAATCCCCCCCCTCTTATTTTAGGTCCTCGCCTTTTTCTACCTTGTCCTATTGATGTTGATGGTTCTAGAGTGTGGTTTACTGATCTCTGGAATTATTCTTTGGTGCCATATATAATGGAAGCTGTGAGAGAAGGACTTCAGGTAGGACTCTAACCAAATATCAGTAAATTTCATTATTGTTTCTAAGAGTTGATTTACAGAAATAGTCACCATTTGCCATGAATGGGAAGCTTAATCTAATTTTTAAATCTTCATAAAACCTTTACAACCATGGACATTATTGTGCATATAAATAATTTCCTTGGATCAGAAAAATTCCCATGAAAAGAAATGTAAATATATTCTGCCTATATATTTAATATTCGGTGGGATTCTCACTTGTAGAATTTTGCAATTTGTTAATAGAAATGCCTCTCTTGAATGTTGCTAATCAGTGAGATGGTAAACCAATTTTAGATAACCTTGTTATATATTGTCACGTGAAATATATAAACTGGAGGACGGGTTGAACAAGTTATAATGGTAAATGTCTATGAAGCTGAGATCAAAAATGTATGTGTCTTAATCATTTCTTGGTACCACTATAACTTATATAAATCCCAAAATCTTTTACCAAATGTTGTTCTTATAAACTGAACATTTTATTTGTTAATCATAACTTATTCTGTAGCATGGTGGGGCATTCGGGGTGAATATTTTCTAATAACTTGGTTCATCACATCCATTCTAAAATGTCTTTTAATAAAATAAGTGTAGACATTTTTACTTTTCTTTTGGGATTTACATTCAGATGTATGGTAAACGTGCACCTTGGGAAGACCCCTCAAAGTGGATAGCAGAGACTTGTCCTTGGAGTTCACTGCAACATGACTGGTCATCATTACTTCAGTTAAGACCTGAAGATGTTGGTTATGAAGGTTATGCATCTGCCAAAGAAGGAACCACTTCAAAGCACATTCCACAGATGGAGTCAGAAGGAGATCCTTTGGTAAAAAAAAGAATCCTTATTGCTTTTTAAATATGTTTTATTCAGTGATGCTTTTTAATTCTAATGGTTTATTATATGCAACAGCTAACTATCTGGTTGGTTACATTTATTCCACTTGCTGCTTTGGCCACTCAGTTAAAATGGTACTAGTTTGCATGTAACCCTTATACTACTGTGAAAAAAATATTTAATGTATAATCCCCATAGTATTAAATTTAAGATCCTTCTTATCTTTCATTAATTCACTAACTATGTACAATAAATCAATGTATGAATTAGGTTAAGAAGTTATCATCTCAGAATATATGAGCATTTATATGCCAGTTCTAAATTCTGACCCACTCTTAACTTTCCATCACACTTCATACCAAGCAAGAAAGAGAATATTTTCTTGGGATCATAAATGTCTGAGCATTCATTTACCTTAATGATATCCCTGAGTATGTTTCATTACTTTCACTGACAAAGGTGAATAATGATGAATGAGAGCGAGGGCTCATATATTAGGAGTGTTAGGAGACACAAGCAAAAAACAAAAGAATATTAGAGATATTTGCATATGAAGTGACAGATTTTTTTAAAAATTATCTAGGAAAATATTCAAAAAACAGAAAACGTACAGAATAAAGAGATAGGTTTACAGGTTGAAGCCCTTCCTCCATTAGATCCTAAAAAGGTCCATGCTGCATCAAGCCATAAAAACATTTTATGGCCAGCAGGATATATCTGGGATGCCCAGAAGTCTCAACTGGAGGATGAGCTCCTTTCCATGACCAAGACTACTATCTAACTCTATCTAATGGTTCAAAAGTTTGTAGACAGCTACCTAGCATGAGTAGGAGCTACTAGTTTGACCTTTCATAAATATCAACAGTATCTTTTAAAAGCTGTTGTGATGCTATTGCTAAACTGAACTTCTAACACTGTTAGGAAGACAGAAAATATCTTAGTATGTTGTCTAAGCTATTCAAAGGGATGCGGTGGCTCAGTGGCTAGGATGCTGAGTTTGTTGATCAGAAAGGCTGGGAGTTCAGCGGTTCGAATCCATAGCACCACATAATGGAGTGAGCGCCCATTACTTGTCCCAGCTTCTGCCAATCTAGCAATTCAAAAGCATGTAAAAATGCAAGTAGAAAAATAGGGACCACCTTGGTGGGAAGGTAACAGCATTCCGTGCTCCTTCAGCATTTAGTCATGCCAGCCACATGACCACGGAGACATCTTCGAAAGTGCTGGCTCTTTGGCTTTGAAATGGAGATGAGCACTGCCCCCTAGAGTCGTGAATGACTAGTACATATGTGCAAGGGCAACCTTTACCTTTACTATGCCATTCATGATCTAATATGCTCTACCATGTCTCCCCATACAATCTAAACTACCGAGTGCCACTTGCTATAATCTTTCCTCATTAAAAAATTGCTTAATTTTGACTGAATTTTTCTTCTCTCTGTCCCTACTAAGATGTTTTGAGCAAATCTGTGCACACGTTTCTCACTCTTCTCCATACATTTTTGCTGCTATCGTAAGCAAGACTTCTTCAAGAAACCATTTTCAACTTAATGATATGAGGCTAAATGCTTATATGACAGTAATAAAGCTACCTTGATTTTTCAAGCTTAATTAAATATGAAAAGGTGTGATACCATGATTTATTCTGGTTTTCTTTTTTAAAAAAAACACATATTTTGGATCAGAGAAACTATAGATTTGCATTGTAAAATTAGGTTATTTTAAAATGCCACCAACAAAGCCCATTCCCTGAACACCAGTAAGAGGAAAGCTTTATAAATGTCATGTTTAATTGTGATAATTTCAGTATCTAAACGTCTTAGAAATGTCCAGTGCTCTTGAAATTAAATAAGATGTACTTACGGTTCTTCTGGAATCCAGCCTCACAGCAGTAACACAATAATATGGCATTGTTTTGTGAAGGTCAGCTCCTGGACAGCAGATGGTGCTATTGCATTCAGCCATTGACTTTCACCCATTCCATTCAATATGTATGCAAAACAGCTTCTTTTATTCCTCCTATAATGGGGGGGAAGAAACCTGTTTGTTTGTTTCCTTATCCTTGACTAGAAAAATGAATCCTGGTTTAAATCATCCATTCTCCTTTATACTTTGAAGGTCTTACCTGCTGTTTCCCCCCTCCATGTAATTGTTTCTGTGCTTTTTAAGACCTAAATATAATTCAGCAGGTACTTTGGTATTATGTCTGCTCATCCTTATGATGTAGAAATAGTATGTTTCTTAAAACACACAAAAAGGCCAGCATAGCATGAAGGTCAATACTGGATGGAATCTGGTAGCATCTTTTTTCCTCCATCCAAATAGCACCCAAAGGTTTGTGAAACTTTTAAAAAGGTGCACAGTGAGCTTTAAAAGAGCTTAAGGCAGGAATTTCTCATAGCAGTGTGAAGAAAGTTAGCACCCACCCCTCTTAGAAGAATAAAATATTCTAGGAAATAATAAAAAGATAGAATATTATATTTCCCTGGATGAGAAAAGGAGAAACATGTTTTAAAGACAAAGCAGCTCCCTGCCTCCCCCACTTCAACTCCAGGGTGATGGGATTAAGACATGGCCCTCAGGACATGATAGGATTAGCCCTCTACCCATCTAATAGCAGGGCTCACTACATTGCAAAGTCACCCAGGGACATTACATCAGCCCATAGTTCAACCAGACTTATATCAGTTTTGCACATGACCCCTACAGCAACCAATGGGATACCTGCTCTTACACAGGAACAGGAAGCTCCAAGGCAGGGCCCAAGAGTGGGTCTCTCTCTCTCTCCCTCTCCCTCCCTCCCCCCCTCTCTCTCAACACATATATAACTCTAAGAAAGGACTTTGCACATTTTTGCACATTTTTGTTCAAATAATTTTAAAACAAGAGGAGAAATTAATTACAGTATTGCTTGGCAAATGTGAACAGTAAAATGGACTGGATTATTATTATTATTCAAAATCTTCTTAACTCTTATACTAATAACACACCATACTGTATTTCTTTCTCAGATGAACATGTTATTGAGGCTCAAAGAAGCTGCCACTTACGCAAGTACCCAGAGCTGTGACAGTGATACTGCCAGCCACCATGATGATATGCTGGACCCTTCACTTGAATCAACACTCTAAAGGGGGCATGACTTTGGTTAGAAGATGCTGATAAACCCATAACACGTATTAAGGGCTGCTGAGGTGGTGTGTATCTGTGCTGAAATAGCATGTGTGTGCTGTGTCATATATGGAGGCACCTGATTTAAGCAGTAAAGCAAATCAGAAATGAAAGTTGGATTTGTTCAGTTTCAAGTGGAAAGAATCTTTAACAGGGAGGCTATGAAGCAGATTGCACACATTGTAGTCAAACTGGAATCACTTAGAGTCTTTTATTTTCTATCCCTGTCTTGAAAGTTTACAGTGGAAGCATTTTATGTGATACTTCAATATACTGGGAGGTGCTGCATTCATAGTTCTCCTGCTCCTCTTCCTCCTCCTCCTCTTCCTCCTCTAACCTCTGTGGTGCCTCACAGCACATATTCCAGATTATATTCTGCTGTCCTTTCCAAAATGAGGTGGATGCGAAATAAAATATAAAGAATGAGAGGGCGTATAGACTCAATAAGCACAAAACAGTATTGTGCAATTACCTTATACAAACAATACTGTGATATGCTGGATAAGTGCCAATTAGATACTAAACTGCCATATTTGCAGTGATGTGGTTCACCAAGTTTTCTGTTTGTGTGTGTGTGTGTGTGTGTGTGTGTGTATTGAAAAAAAGTCATCTGTTTTTATATCCAAATTGTTTTTAACCACAGTGGTATTTTTAAAACACCTGCCCACCTCTTAAGGTTGTTGCTGTTGTTGTTAGGCAATTCTGATGCTGACTAAAGGTTCTGGTTAGGACTTTGTTTTGAGTCTTTTGGGAGGGGGGAAAAGAGATCATTTCCTATGGTGCTGTCTCACTGCCTTAAAACCGATTTCTAGACAATGTTTCTACACTTGGTTTAATTTGTTTAAACCATTGGTTATTTACACTGTTTCCTTTCTTCATTTTACTAATGAGAGAGCATCAGTGAACACAGTAGCCTTGTGTTTATATATCAAGTTTTTTTAATTAGGTTGCTAGAAGAATGAATTATTAATATAGATATAGATATATTATTTTTAATCTTCTGTGAATCAATGACCTACCATCCTAAACCATTCAAATGACCCAGAAGCTACTCCTAGTTAATGAATTAAAACAATACAAAAAAAGTCCAACATAGTTATTTCTATCCCATTAGGAAAAGAACTTAATTAAGACAGAAACAGAAATGTGTGACATTTTATCCAGCAGAGCTGGGTGTGCACCTGAGTTAGCATGAGCACAAATCATTCTTGGTTTTCGTCCCTTCTCTTTCTTCCCCCATTTGGAGCATGATATTTTAATTGCAGTAGTTGTACATGAAGAAAGTCAGCATTACAAAAACACTGGCACAGTACTATTCACTGTGCAAGACACAAATGTTTTTACTGTAAGAGGGGAAAGTGGGGGGTGGGTGATTTTGCACAGTTTATTGGGAGGGTATTGTAAATACTGAAAATAAAAAAAAGTGTTGCACAAATGAAAGCAAACAAAACAGTGACAGCAGCAAAAATACAAACATATACTTTATTCTATTGATGTGAAGAAATGTTTCATTTATGGAGAATACCCATACATTGTAAACAAAGCAAGAGGGCAATCAGTACTATCTGGTTTTTTTTTTAAGACAGATAAATCAGGTATGTTTGTCCTGTATTTAGAACTGCCATCACAAGTCCTGAGCTATCCTTGCTACAATGAACATTTGCATTCTTTAAACTAATCTAACTGAAGAAAAAAATAGACGTTATCTATCCTGGCAGGATACACCAAAAACCCAATCAGAGTAATTGGAGATATTGGTTAAAATTAACATAAAATATCTAAGGGCTATAGCATTCTATAGGCACATACTTCAACCCTTATCTTGAAAGGGCTCATGTGGAGCACGTCTACTCATAACCATAGGACATGTGCCAATGAAATACTTTCAGGATACACATAGCCAATGGATAACTTCAGGACATGTACGTGGTGCTACTAACTCCAGCAACAATATATTTTGCAAAACAAATATCAAAGGAATCAATGCAATTTTCCTGCTTGCATCAGCCGCAGGTCTCCTGCATGGTGCTATTGCCCTAATAAGAAAGTCTGCTTTTATGCACAAAAAATGTATTCAGATTGATTTTCAGCAGCAAATATTAGCTGACTGTCTCATACTGTTAAGCAACATGCCACTCTGGAAAATGACTAAAACAAAAGCTGCTCCTTAAGATTGATGTAGTCTAAAACAACATCTAAGCCCAGGAACTCCTGCCATTTTCAATACACATACACACATCCTATATGTATATACTACATAATACAATTTTCCCTGCAATACATTTCAGTGAATCCACCTAGTTTAAAACTTTAACAAATTTGTTTGTGAAGCATTTGTCTGTATACATTTTATATTTTGTACATTTTTAATGTAACATATTGTGTAAATAGACAGAAACAGTGAGATAAATCATCTGAAAAGTTTTGTAGTCTTTGTAAAGCTCTAATAATAAGTATTTGGTGTCATCAGACCTAACTGGATGATGTATTTTATATTGATTTATTGTTATTCTAGCTTGTAAACCAGCTTGCATATATTTTTTGCAGGTGTGCACACTGTATCTGTCTAAATTATTACTTTGCCATTAAAGTGGAATTATTTATTGACAACTGAGTCTGCTGTTTTTAAACTCCAGAGGAAATCAGCCTTTAATTCCATTGTTAGGTGTAGACTATGGGAATAGCTTGAGAAAACCATTATAAATAGCAGTAGCAATAGCAGTAGACTTATATACCGCTTCATAGGGCTTTCAGCCCTCTCTAAGCGGTTTACAGAGAGTCAGCATATTGCCCCCAACAATCCGGGTCCTCATTTTACCCACCTCGGAAGGATGGAAGGCTGAGTCAACCCTGAGCCGGTGAGATTTGAACCGCTGAACTGCTGATCTAGCAGTAGCCTGCAGTGCTGCATTTAACCACTGCGCCACCTCGGCTGACACATAAGACACATCAGGTTATTGATTGAATTGCTTTCTTACTTTACTATAAGAATATGAGTTGGCCAACTAGGATCCTTATCTGACCCTATTTAATAAATGGATCAGTCAAACAGGTCTATTTATTTGCTCCCATCACATTTAATTTGCATATCAATTATAGTGTTTCAGCCATGGAATGAAAATCATTTGTCTCCTTGCTTAATGGATTCAGAGCACTCAATTTAATGTAGGTTGATAATATATGGTGTTTATATCATGATATATGTTGAAATTAGATTTAGAAAATTGTGGGCTAGGCTGACTGATTATTATGAGACAAAAAAGATGAGGATTAACTACAAGCAAGCCACACAGCAGAACCAAACATACATTGTCAGTTAATATTCAGTATTGCCTGTTCCTTAAATACAGTATTTGGATGTCCCTTTCTAGAAGCCATTAACCTGGAAGGTAAACCTTAATCCAGTTTTAACTCATTGGGTATATTCTAGTTTTTTCTATTTTAGGGGAGATCAGTAGTTAAATTACTCCTGCAATCAAAATATTCCAGAAAAATAAAATTCCACAGCTTCTGTATTGGAAGGAGTTTTTGGAATGGAATTAGAATGTATTTATAAAACTGGAAATAGTCCAGAATATGTTAAAGGAAATTCCAAGTCTTCCACAGGGCTCATTTGCCATACATCTCAAACTCACATCTGTCAATCTCTATTAGAACACAGTCTATAATACACATTTTTAAAGAACTACCAGGTTCCCAGATAATTAGTTTGTTAAATTTTGCTACTGGCAAATGAAAAGAAAATATGTCATATTGTGATATTATATTCCTCTCTATCTAGAGCAGGGGTGTCAAACTCAATTTCATTGAGGGCCACATCAGGGTTGTGTTTGACCTTGAGGGGTTGGGATGGGTGTGGTGAGCTTAGCGCCACTTGTGTCAGGCGCCCGTAGAGGCCTGAGGTCTCTGCCAGTGAAAATGGGCTCCCAAGCTCCATTTTTGGCTTCAATGACCTCCTGCAACCCTCTACCAACGAAAACAGAGCTCGGAAGGGCCACACGCAGCCCCCGCAGCTCCATTTTCACTGGCAGAAGCATTGCAGTCCAGTCCTTTGCTGTTTCCAGGACATCCCTGTGGGCCAGATCTAAGCACCCCATGGGCTGGATACGGCCCCTGGGTCTTGAGTTTGACACCCCTGATCTAGAGGAATTAAATTAAATTGTTGAATAAAAGATTTCTCAATGACTTTTGGAATGGAATGCTATCAAAGCAGGGGTGGGTTCCGGATTCCATTCCAATCGGTACGGTTGGAACGGGCCTGGTGGTGTCCACATGGACATGCGCAGTGTGTGTCCATGCGTTGTACATGCCAGCGATGCCTCCACAAGCCTTCGCAAAGCTCCAGATGCTCGGTGGAGCATTGAACAGGCGCTCTATGCACCATGCACGTGCACGGAAGCGCCGATGGCTTTAAAGGACAGGTAAGGAGCTCGGGAGGGTGGGTGGGCCCTCCAGAGCACCATACTGGAACGGTACTCATTGCTCTGGGCAGGCTCTGGTACGCCCGTACCGGAGCGTACTGCCTGCGACCCACCACTGTATCAAAGACACAATGTTGCTCCAATGCTCAAGATTCTACCTTTGGTATTCTCAATTTAAGCAGATATTCTTTTGCAAGTCTTAGACTGACCAGCAGATTTCCAACATTTCCAAATTACGTCCTTAAATTTAAATTCCATAAAAGTCTGGGAAGGGATTTATATGTAGCAAGCACACACACAAAAATAGAATATGGACTATGACATTCATTCTGTGGCTGAATTGGACAAGAAATTGTTACAAATAACATATAATCTGTCATTTTAACAGCATTTTTTAAAAAAACTGGTTTTAAGCAAGGAACATTGCTCTGTCTGGTATCATCACTGCCAAGATAAAAGTGATATTCTTAACTCTGTCTTTTCTCTGACATTGCTCAGTGACAATAATTGTACAATAAGGAACAGGGAGTTAATCCATTTAGAGTCCCCATCTCATTCAAATTGGAATCGGCCATTTTCTGTATCTTGTCTTTTCTTTCAAAATTAAACTACTACCAATATCAATGATTGAAAATATTTCAAATTTTAAATGCATGTCCACATTTTTATTTACATTTATTAGAAGTTTTTCAAAAAGTAAAAATCTAATCAAAATTTAAAAAATGATGGAAGGAAAGACATTCAAGAAACAAAAAGGAGACGGAAAAAATATTAAATTCAATAAATGTTGTGATTTGTTACCTTATTTTCAACAAATAATTAAAATTTAGTTTTCCTTTCTCCCTGTCAGATATTATCTAAGTTCCTTCTGCCCTTCATTTAATCTACATCTTTATTAACTTTCAAACCTATAAATCTTCATGTCATTTTTTCTTCTTTCAGTAAAATGATGTTGTTTTGTCCATGTCCAGACAGTTTTGTTTGCCATTTCTGCAAATTATATATACATTTTTTTAAATTTGTTTTGTCTTCTAGTACTCAAGTTTTGTATTAGTTTCAGGGTATATTGTTTCAGTTCTGTTATATTTTATTTGGTTCTCATTTTATTTTGTTTTGAGCTCATCATATTTCTGCTCCAAATCGTGCAGATCCATTCTTCAGGCATTCACTTTTGGAGTCTGCAAAGGTTGTACTGTTCAAAAACATAACAAGAACTGTATTGCTGTCTAAAATGGGCATATTTCTGATAGGTGTCAAGAGAAGCTGAGGATGCCAGAGTTACAGCTGAGATGCAAGTACATACAACACAAAAAAAGCTTATCTCTTGACTTCAGAGGGGTCTTGCAAGTGGTAATAAGTTATTCTTTTTCCTGCAGAGTATATAAACCTTGACAAATTAAAATAATATTTAGTGACAATTCATATTGCAGCTCTTAGGTAGAGTGCATGTCTAGTGAAAGATACTTACAAGCAAGCTGAACATATTCTAGGCCTTTGATTTCAACACTTCATACATGAAAGCAGATCACAAGCAATTTATGTTACTTTTCAAATAAACATGTTATGGCAAAATTATACCAAATACCCTCAGTTATTCTAGACTTTAACTGCCAAAAATGCCAACCAATTTATGAGAAGTAAAATTTTGTTGTTTGCTAGAACCCCACACAGAAATCTTATCAACATTAATACTAGCACCAGTAAAACTTGGATTTCCACACTCAAAAAATTGGAAACGCTATGAAATGCATTAATCAGAAACCAGGAGAGAAAAATGGAAAGTTTTATATCTAAAATTCAGATCAATGAAAAATAGCAGCTTAACAAGACAGCTCATAGTTTTATTATTGCTATTCTCAGAAAAGTTAAGGAGGTACTCCAATAACTGAACAGCAAATGATCAGTTTTCTGGGAAATAGCAAAATGTAAAGATTTAACAAAAAGGAAAGAAAAAAAACCTAAATTAGCTCAATCTCTGACAATTACAAGAAACTGCAATCTATGAAACTGCGGAAAACTCTTGAACTAGATGTGGACATTATGTATTTTTTTTGACGGTGTTATAAAAAATGTGATTCTTTTAACATATGTTATAGTGTTGACAAGCTCATTATGTCACTACGATTTCAGTACATGTTGAGGAAGAAATATTAGAGTTAAGGATTTTAATGTGATGTTGAAATGTTTCCAAAAGTTGAAAATTGTCATCTCATAAATTGCTTTGTGAGCCTGTGGCACAGGAAAAAGGCTAATTCTATATAATTAGAAAGTTTCCCTCCTGATTTTGAGGAATGACTCCAGGATGTGAGTCTGTTATTTATTTTTGAAAAGTCTGTGTGTTCTAAAACAAAAGATAATGCAATATGTTGCTATATAGTTTTAATGATATGCTTTCAAGATTGAATATGCTTTTCATTATTTGTATTTATATTATTATTTATGATTTGGATCATTTTTTCTATTAATTTTCCTTAACACACTCAAACACATATATAAGCATACATACATGCATACACATACACATGCACACTATATGTATGTATGTATGTATGTATGTATGTAGGGAGGGAGGGAGGGAGGGAGGGAGAGCAGTATGCTCCCTCCCATATTTGGGGCATATCAGGTGCCTTGACAAAACATCTAATATATGTATACATGTATACATGTGTATGTGAGTGTGTGTGTGTCTATGTGTGTGTGTTTGCATGTGTATATATGTATATATATATACAGTATATAGTTCACTGTATGATGTCTACAAATATGTATTTTTCACTGTTGATATTTTTTATTGGTAAGTTTTTAAAAATGTACTATAGATAAATAAAGGAATGTAATGCTAATGTCTCTTTACAGCTTCTCTGAAATATTACAGTTCAATAGCCAATTGTCCAATTGCATTTGTATAACTGTATATCTACCTTGTTACTTATTTTCCTGTCTCTGTATATTTGTCTGATATTGCATATATTGCAAATTCATCTATAATCTGGATACGGGACAATAAAAGTATTTTTGTACAAAATAAATATGTCATTTTTTTTGTTCTCACATTTGCATATTCTGCCAGAATTAAACATAGTTCCTTAGGTGATGGGATAGTCGTCTTAATAACTAAATGTTTTCAGTATTAAATATTGTTTCAACATGCTATAGCTAATGAATATATTCTGCTCATGTAAATGTATTTTTGCAAAAAAAAAGGAATCAGAAAATGGAATCTATCATAGAAAATAAAGTAAGTGAGGAGTAGGCTATGCAAACTATTTATTACT